TGCACCCCTCACAAGCCACGCCACAGGTAAGTACCGGCCCTACCGGGCCTGCCCAACATCCATGGCCCCGACGGGGTCACACACACACTCAAGCACTCAGTCAGGCACRCATTCATCACCCAGGCATGCCAACCACATACAGGCACGCACTCAGACCCAACACAACCCACTCAACAGGCAGGGGACTTAGTACGGCATGCATTCCACGAGCAAACTCAGAAATCAGCTGTCTGTTACAGTCCGTGGGATGACGGGTCATTACATTTGTACATAGGTTCGAAGTTCAAGACGAAGCTTCTCCTGAATTTTTCCTCACCTCACAATGGAAAGGAGCTTGTTATGGCTGAGGAGTATGTTAGTTTCCTAGGAAGCAGGCATATTTGGGAGAAGGCTGAAGGATAGGCGCTACCTGATAATAATTTTTCGGTTATCTCAGGCCTACTCCGGGATTAAAAGCCCTTCACGGTAGGAGGGGCGTTTCCTTATGAGATAGAGAGATACACTGTCTTGGCCATACCTAAAGCAGAGGAGAAAGTGTATGTGTTAGTAACTCACTTCCTAGAGACTGGCGAGTATGACGTGCGTATATACACTCTAGTGACTAGGAAGATTTAGCGGCGGTATATTGGGTGTCACAAATGGGCACTCAGTCACGTCTGTAAATACCGAAACGAGCTCAAGAAGGAAGGTAAGAAGGTTACCTGGAGTGTGGAGCCTACGGAGTATGAGAATTTTTCAAGTTCTCCTATTCCGAATAGCTTCGTCAATGGTGAGGATTGGGAGCCGATCCTTAATACTGTTTTAAGAGATAGGAAGTGGAGCAGTGTCAACATTGACGATTCGGGATTGGAAGGCTTGGTAGGTATAGGACAGGGTTAGATGGGTCGAAGATAAAGAAGGATCATAGGGATCGCTAGGGATTAGGCAATGTCTAGTTACTGTCCGCAGTCACGGCAGCACTGAACGCCCTAGTTCTTTTTACCAATGGAGGAATTTTTCCCTACAAGATAGAGCGTTGCATATCCCTGGAGGAGAAGCATGCACCTGGGAAGGCGTATGTCCTTGTAATGAAGTTCCTTGACACTGGTGAATACGATATCCGGCCCTATGCTCCCTCATTGAGAGAGAGAGGGACAAATCGCGAGTCCTTTCGAAGCTGGATTAGTAATATAATTGACCAAGAAAAAAAAGAATTAGGGAGAAAAGGGATAAAAATAGTTAGTGACTTAACACCGATTGTGTTTGATAGGTTTTCTGAGCCCCATCTGCCAGAAAGTTTTACCGACGGCAGGAACTGGGAACCAATTTTAAACGCAATCATAAGAGAGAAAAGGTTCAGAAAGAAGTAGGAGCGTAATCGGTAAACTAGACAGGATGGTCAAAGGACCGAACGCACGGCAGAGCCGTGTTAGTTCCTCAGCTGGGGATGGAGAAGTGACCACTGTCGTGGTTCTTCGAGAGATGTTGAACCGAATAGAGGCCATGAAGACCGGGATGAACACTATGAATGTCCGTCTAAACCTTTCAAGAGCTAAGGTACCTCCTGAGAACATACCCTGCTTTGATGAAACCAAAGTTAGGGAGTTCCTGGAAGACTATGATGTCTTTGGTATGAGCCATGGTTGGTCGGATAAACAGAAGTTGAAAGCTCTGCTAGCGTATGTCGAACCTAAGATGAGGGTGTTGGTAACAAAAACGACACAAGGGCAGACAACATGGGTTGAGGTTAGACAAATGATGCTGGAGGAATACGCGAAGTACGACGTCCCAACGACCATGCAAAATTTGATGGAAGTGCGACGTTATAAGTCTGCAACCCTCAACCAATTTCTAGAAGATTTTGAGCGGGTTGCGCGGAGAGTACCCTTCCTAGACGAGGCCTCAAAATATCATGTCCTACTGACTAACTTCGCAGAGGATGAAACAAAGGGTGTGGTAAGCCGCGCTGCCCATTACCCTCTGAAATGGGATGAAGTGGTTGAGATGGTCCGAGAGCTACCTTCGGTGTCAAACCAAAAATGGTCTCTGGAACAAATGAAAACAATCACTAGTGCAAGAGAAGGGAATGTTGAGGCATCTACTGGAGGGAACTTGAAGGCCGAGGAGATCCTTGGTCTTCTTGTTAAGCTTGGTAGTTTCGAGAAATTAACCCTTCCTGCCCCAGCAACTCAAACACTTGTTGGAGCCGAAGAAGGTAAGGAAGAAAGAAAGAAGGAGAAACAAAAGGAAGAGAGTGAAAGTAGTGACGACGACACTAGGCAAAGGAGAAAGAAAAGAAGGAAGAAATAGAAAAAGAAGCATGATCGGGATTGGAAGAAAGATAATAAGAGCCGAGATTGGTAAAGGAGAGATGACCCTTTCCGATGTTATTATTGTGATGAGGAAGGTCATACTCTAACCCGGTGTCCGACGTTAGAAAAAGAGCTCGAAGAAGGGATTGTCAAGAAGAACGCCAATGGGCACATCTGTGATGTCAACTGGAACAAGGTAGATTTTCGAGTCAAAGGAGGAATGCGAGCAGTTATCCTAGAAAAGGCTAAAGCCAATAAGGATAAAAAGAAGAAGGTTAGGGTTAATGTTGTCACCTTTGACGGTATGCTACCTCCGGAGATAGTGGCTCGAGACGACAATCTTGAAAGTCAAAACATGAATGTATCCCATATCAGCCATAGAGAGGTTGATGAAAAAAAGCGGGAGAATGCTCAAGGAGAGCTAGACCAGTTGATTGATGGGACCAAGGACCTAGTGAAGAAAGGGAAAGGAAAGGAAGCTGCAGGGAAAAAGAGAAAGATGGTCTTGAGATCTGAGGCCGAGGAGGGTGTCTCGATAGATGAAGTAGTAAAAAAACTACTTGAGGAAACCGAGATCACTCTATCCTGGAAAGAGGCAGTAGCCTTGGTGCCAAAGTTTAGGGAAAAGCTAAAAAAGATGGTTGAGAGGCGGAAGGTAGAAGTCAATAGTCTAAGACTCTTCCCCCAGCATGTGGAAAGAGCCCCGCCTGGTACCAAGATGAGGTTTGGTAACATGTCATGTGGGTACTTGAATATCTCCGTAAACGACGTGAAGGTTAAAGCCCTAGTGGACTCTTGGCCACAATGAGATCATGTGGGCTTGGAATAGATAGGAAAGTCAATCACCAACTCTCTAATATAGCCGGATTTCTGCCATTGGAAGGATTCCTTGATGATTTGCCTCTTCGGACTGGAACTTTACGGGCTGAGGTCCTTAGTTTTGTGATTCCCAACTTGGATCATAACTGCATTCTCAGAGCCCCTTTCTTACATAGAATGGAGGCTTGTGCTTTCTTTGGCCATGATGGAGCGGCCTGACTCTCTCTTCAGGATCCTGTCACTGGTCAAGAGCAAGCTTTTGTGATAAGTGATAGACATTATCCTCGTCATCAGCGACATGTTAACTCTCTTAAGCATGGAGAATCTGACAAGCTGATTGAGGAAGTACGAGCAAAACTGAAAGAAAGTGGAATAATAGACGAGAAGACAACGATTAAAGTGAATCATATCAGGAAGATGCTCAAGCTCCTGGATAAAGAGAAGGAGTTGGGCGATAAGAGAGAGATGAAGGGATTCAAAGAAGCTGTGAGGGCGGCAAAAGTTGACACGATGCAACTTACCTTCTCTGCAACTGGGCCTTTTTAGGAAAATAGTCACCGGGTCCAAAAGGAAGTATAAGTGCAAGGGCGTTAAGAAGAATCCGGTGACAGTCTTGATAGAAAAAGACTATAATGAAGCATTCGAGAAGGAAAGGAAGATAATTAAAAGGTTAAGAGAGATTGCATTAAAAGGGGGGAGGATTACCCCAGAGAGGTTCAAGATAATGAAGGTAGGAACCGATGACTTCCTTCTGCCGGCTGAGAGGGATTTCATATGTGAGTTATGTCAGAAGTACAGTGGTGCCTTTTCCTTTAATGATGAGGAGAGGGGACAACTAGACGTTGACATGATCAAGATGGTTAAGATTTTGACCGTTCCTCACACGCCTTGGAATGATAGACCCACGAAATATGCTTAAAAGGAGGAAAAAGAAGTAATGAAGTACATAAACCAGAAGATCGCCTCTAACGTTGCAGAACCTGTGAATGGTGCTTATGCCAATCACTGGTTTTGTCGTTGGAAGCCGGGTGGTGGCATGCGCTGGATACAAAACTTGCAGAAGTTGAATTCAGTAACTATTCGCGATGCGGGTAGTTTACCGAACGCGGATCTATTGGCCGAGTCTTTCACCGGAAGGAGCATTTACTCCCTAGTAGACTTATACTCTGGCTATGACCAGTTCCCCATAGATCCTACTAGTCGACCTATGACCGTCATGCACACACCTACAGGCCTCATACAAATGTGCGTGGTGCCTCAAGGGTAGACGAATGGGGTCGTGGTCGTCCAGCGAGACATGTTGAAGGTCATGGAGGACATATGCCCAGAGGTCACGTTCTCATACATCGATGACAATCCGGTTAAAGGACCGATAGAACAGGACGAGACCCTAGTGGATGGTCGAGTTAGGCGGTTCGTGTGGGAACCTGCGCAAGGAGTAGCGAAAGTACTAGAAAGGCTATTTAAGTACAATCTAACAGCTAGCGGACCGAAATCACTACTGTTCCAAAGGGAGGTAACGATCTTGGGTTTCAGGTGCTTCTTGGAAGGGAGAAGCCCCGATCCTAAGAAAGTGGATAAAATTCTGAATTGGTCTATGCCTCTAAGGATGGTTGGGGAAGTGAGGAGCTTCCTAGGGGTCTGCAGCTTCTGGCGGATATTCATTCCCGCGTTTTCCAGGATAGCCGAGCCTCTTAGAGAAATGGTGCGACAAGGAGCTAGCTTAGGGTGGTCTGACCAAAGAGAGAAGGATGCGCGGACACTTCAAGATAAGTTAAGAGATGGCGGGGTCGTATTGGGAGTACCCTACTTCGACGATGAAAGAGAGAGGTCTTTCATCATTGAAGCCGACGGCGGCCCGATAGCATTAGGAGGAGTGCTCGTGCAGCGAGATGAGAATGGTAAAGAAAGACCACTTCGATTTGAGAGTCGCACTCTTAATTCGGTTGAGAGAGGCTATATTCAGTTTAGGAAGGAGCTTCTGGCAATCCTGCACTGTCTCAAGGTGTTTAGACACTACATTATGGGACGAAGATTCATCCTAAGAACGGATTCTACGGCAGTAATTGGGGCTGTTAAGAGACATCAGCAAGTAGATGCTACGGTCAGTAGGTGGATAGCTCATATACGGACGTATGATTTTGTATTAGAAAAGGTACCTACTGATAAGAATCGAGCTGATGGGTTAAGCCGCGTGGAATGGGGATCAATAGACGATGAATCTCTTGAGGAGGCACCTTTCGTTGACGAATTCCTTATGGGGGACGATGATGAAGGGCTACCTCCCGCTCCCAATTGTTATACGACCTCTGTCAGAGCAACGAGCAGGGAAGACTGCTGGGGAGAAAAGGAAGATCCCTACCTCCACTACCTCTTGATTCAAGAGGATGAGGAAGAAAAGTGGTATGGGATGGTGGAACAGACCGTTGTTGCAGCTCATGAGCTGGCTGAGAGTTCAAGAATGGTTGAGCGTCGATTGAATGAGATAGAGGATGGGTCAGAGGATCTGGAGCAGGGTAAAGATGATGAGGTAAGGTTTAGAGCGGAAGAATATGATGAAAAATATAAGAGGATCGGTATGGTGATGAGTAGTAATCACTTGAACGAGTTCTACCATGAGAGGACAACGAGGACCTTTAGACTACGTAGGGGTCACCTTTTTGTGGATGCTAAGGAGGGACTACCGCCACTGAGAGTTGTGTGTGGTAAGGAAAGACAACTAGAGGTGATCGCCGCACTGCATGAAGGTCTAGCAGGGGGTCATAGGGGTGTTGATGCTACATACTATAAAGTATCCCGACTATATCACTGGGATGGTCTGAGAGATATGGTTATGAGATATTGTAAGTCATGTGAAGCCTGTCAGAAAAGATCATCTATGAGACTGATTGAACCCTTATACCCCACTGTTCTTGTTGAGCCTGGTAGTACTGTTCACCTTGATCTAATTACTATGCCACCTGGTAAGGATGAAATGAAATACACACTAAATATGAGAGATAATATGTCTGGTTATGTTGAAGCAAAAACCATCCGTAAGAAAATAGCAAAAACAATGGCAGATTGGATCGAGGAAATCTACCTAAGGTACCCCTTTATACGTGAGTTTGTGGCTGATCAGGGGTCGGAATTCAAGAACGAGATGGTCAGAAAGCTCATATTCAGACTTGGAGTCAGGGTTAGATTTGTGACACCATATCATCCTCAGACTAATGTACCAGTGGAAAGAGGTCACAAGACTCTAAAGGATGCTATATCAAAATGGTGCCGAGGTGATTCCAGAAGCTGACCATCCTTCTTGAGAGCGGCTGTCTATGCTGACAATGTGACTGTCAAACGGACTACAGGTTATGCACCTGTTACACTCTAGTACAGCCGGTATGCTACTTCTCTCATTGAGAACCTGGTTGAGACATGGACCCATGAGAGACAGAGAGAGTCGTACTCCACAGAGGAGTTGCTGAGACCAAGGATCAGGCAGATCAAGGAAGTGGATGAGGCCATAATCGAGGCCACAAAGAGGATGTCAGACAACAGGTTATCTGACCAGACACGATGGAACAGCAAGAGGTACATCAGGAAGGAACGATTTCAGGTCGGGGATATTGTACTTCTGCATGATACATCTCTCGAGACGCAGTGGACCAAGAGATTGGAGGCAAGGTGGATGAGACCTTTCAGGATCATCAGAGAGGTTGAAGGCAAGGCCTATGAGTTAGTAAAGATGGATGGAACGAAATCCCATGGTATAGTATCCGGCTCCCGTCTCTGAAAATTCATACTCAGAGATGGAGATTTGATTCCGAGTTCAGGCAAAATGATGGGGCGAGGCCCGAGAGCCGTCCAGCATCAGCCTGGACATGTTGAGTCGTGGCCAGTGTGCCCTCAGCATTGGTTGGGACGTGGTCAGTGTGCCGCCAACCGCGAGATCATTATGTGCTGGGATATGACCAGTGTGCCGCCAACTTCAGATGATGATTATATGCTGGGACGTGGACAGTGTGCCGCCCACTTCAGACGATGATTATATGCTGGGACGTGGACAGTGTGCCGCCAGCTTCAGATGATGATTATATGCTGGGACGTGGACAGTGTTGCCACCAGCTACAGACGATATGCTGCAACGTGGACAGTGTGTCGCCAACTACTGATGATGACGATATGCTGGGACATGGACAGTGCTACCGCCAGCTACAGACGATATGCTGGGACGTGGACAGTGTGCCGCCAGCTACTAACGATGACGATATGCTAGGAAGTGGATAGTGTTGCCGCCAGCTACAGATGATGATTTTATGCTGGGACGTAGACAGTGTTGCCGCCAGCTACTGATGATGACGATATGCTGGGATGTGGACAGTGTTGCCGCCAGCTACAGATGATGATGATATGCTGGGACGTGGACCGTGTTGCCGCCAACTACTGATGATGATTATGTGTTGGGACGTGGCCAGTGTGTCGCCAGCTATCGATGACGATTATGTGTTGGGACGTGGTCAGTGAGCCGCCAGCTATAGATTATGATTATGCGCTGGGACGTGACCCGTATGCCGCCAGCTGCAGCCGACAGTCGATTTGCTATGATTATTATATGATTTCGGATGTCGGAGCTGTATACGAGCAGCCTATGATGGCTCGGCTCAATGGTGGACTCATGTGTCTGCCGGGCCCAGATTGGCCCCAGTTTTGTATGAATGTAAGTTAAATTTTTAAATTTCAGTTCATTGCATTGTATCTGGCTTGTCATGTGTCAGTCCTAGGATATGCCTCGGGGATTGGGAGACAATTATTGAGATTTCAGTTCTTGCCTCTTATTGTATTTTATTTATCTGCATGGCATTGTGGAATGAATGGTTGTGGGATAATATGAAAATATGTTTTCTTCCTCTCATAAGTCAGCGCTCAATTGATGGGGCAACCTCCTAGTACGATAGTGTAAGGAGGATTGCCTAGCATCATCTAACACAAGTTGATTGGTTATTCCTGAAAGAGGGTGGTACTTAACCTAGTGAAGTGTTCCAGTGGCAACGGACTCAGCATCGTCGGGATGGGGTTCCTCTCCAGATGGGCCTTCGCGGTTAGACACTGCCGAGCTCTGAAGGGATAGGTAGTCAGTCATGTGTCATAGTCGATGGAGTGATCTGTCCGATCTAGTGGTCGGGGCGAAGATTACTCAGCATCGCAGCGGTTCGGAGCTTGCTGCATTGTTTGTGATGGGAGGATTGTTCCCACTGCAGCCGCCGGGTTCTCGCAACGGTTTACCGGAGAGAATCTAACCACAGTGGCGTTCCCTGCAGTGTCAGCACTTATGTCCTTTATGAAGAGGCAGAGAGTTTCAACTGCGCCTCTTGAGCAAGAGATGATTCAATGAAGCAGGTTCTCACAGGTCCAGAGGCTAGCTGGGTTAACGGCGTCCGAGTCATATCGGCTGATAGCCTCGAACCTTCGGGTGGTTAGTCGTTCCCGGGTCACCGCATGGTGACTTGGTCTGCCTGCTGGAAAGGAAGGAGGCATCCGGAGCCTCTCCCAGTCTAAATCCGACATTTGGCTGATCAAGGTGGTAGACTCCTGCTATCACTATGATCGGGGTGTTTTTAGGAAGCCGTGTCTCTAGGAGCATTCCCTTGGCATCGGGCCAAGCCAGGTATCCACTGCCCAGCTGGCAACAGGGCCATTATGGTCTTCTAGCCCACTGTTGCAAAGCATAATTGTGGACTCGCTTTGACTCACCAGCCGGGTCTGGTTGGGTGTTGGCTGGCTCCCCGCACAGTTGCAAAGAGTTGGACGTTAGTCAAAAAGTCAAGCGAGTAGACAGATGCTCTGATGTCGACTAATGAGTCTCTGATCAATGGTCTGAACTCATCGGAGTGAGGGCTTCATGAAGGGGTGTGCGGCTCCTCGTGAGTTGTTCTGAGCAAGGGCTCAGAGGGTGGTCGGACCGCCATGACTGGGAATCCGGACTGACTTTGCTCTGCTTGCCGGGTTGGGTCAGTGGAGGAGCCCACCAGGGCGAGCGGGGGCACTCTTGGAAGGCCGAAAGGTAAGACTCTGAGAGTGAGTGAGGAAGGGATGTTGGCAAGGGTCTTTAGGGGAAGCCCTTTTCTTGTATTTCTTTTTGGCGTGACATGATCTCTGTTTTGCAGGTACCCTACAGCCAGATGAAGACAACGAGGTTTCGTATTACCCGACAGTAAGTGGCACAGAGCCAGCAGATAAAGAAAAAGGGGTTTGGTATGTTTCCCCCTTATGAGGCGGCCTTTGGTCAAGATGACCCAGATGATCCTGAATTCAATGATTAGTCTCATATCCACCCGTGGTTGAACTGTAACTGAGATGATAAGGAGGATTATATTGTGCTGATGAGATGGACTGATCAGATGAGGTTGAGATGAGCAGGCCAGGACTGAGACTTGGACTGCTAGACCAGACCTAACGATAGGGTTTGGTCTAAGATTGGGCCTGATTGTGATGATGCATAAGGTCAAGCCTAACGAGGGTATTGACGTAAAATTAGGACTGATTTAACAATGCAAGAAAACGGGATTGATAGTATGATTGGGCTGCATGAGCAGTCATGATAATTGCGTGCGGTGACTTCACCACGCAAGCTTGATAAGACTAATCCTTCTTTGATTTTGATGGTGGCTTGGACCAGAGGTCCGTGCCTTATTGAGCAAGCACTCGAGCCCTAGCGGGCGAGCACTTTGATGATTAAGATATGTTTTATATAATGCCTCTATATATCAAATAGCATACGAGGCCGCACAGCTCAAGCTGGCAGATGAAAAACAGCACAAGTATGACGCACAAGCGATGGCCGGGCGGCGCAGCCTAGTGGGCGACGGGCGGTTCTGGTACACGTGGCAACGACGGTGGCGCAAGGCGTGACGGTTGTGGCAGGACTGTGAGCTGGCGAGGATGAGGTTGAGCAGAGGAAGAAGGATGATATGGCGAGGGGTATGATCGAGGGGGCAGTTCGAAACGTGGAGGCGAACTGCCGTAACGCTGCTCGTATTTATACGTATAGTACATCATTGATCTCGGCGACAGCGTGCGCTCGCGCCCGTCCTCTGAGCGATGGTGCAAGCGCGTTCCTCCCTATCTCTCCTCCTCCTCCTCTTCGGATCTCTCCCCCTCGTACGTCAGATCGATTGGTCGATCTGGCGCCTTCCCCTGTCGACCTCCTCTCCCACGTCCAGCGCCCGAGCCTCGCGTCTTTGGCGCCATGGCAAAGGCTGATTAACTGCGCGACAGTAATCGCTAGTGCGGCAAGAGCGCAAGCGAGTAGAGAGCGATGAAAACAATGGCAGTAGCGAGAGCGTAATAGCGCAGCACACTTAACGATGCGAGTTCTAGTCAGAATGATGAGAGTAAGAAAGCTATTAGGCCCCTTATAGTACAGGGATCCTGGCGGGGACGCCAGGAATGGGGTTTGGTATGGTTGTCGGAGAGCGGCGTGCCGCGTCAACGTATAGTTGCCTCGTCGCGGCCAACCTCCGCACGGGCTGCATATGGTCACGATCAGCAGAATGTTGACACGCTGGTTTGGCCCTTGGGTCGAGTCAGCGGGCAAAACGGCGTGACGGTCCAGCCCCATGGAGATCGAATAACGACTTTTGGGCTGAACCGCCGCGTCTGCAAGGGCCAGATTAGTAGGGCCCGGTCCGAACGGTACTGAAAATGGACCAATGGTTAGTGAGAAAAGTAGAATTGACCACTTGGGACCGGACTTATCGCGTCGGGAAGAGTACGGCCCGAAATGGTCAAGGGGAATACGGGATTGGGCCCCTTATTATGATTAAGAGGGGTGTTTTATTTCTAAAACAAGGCCGACACTTAGTATTCCAAAGTCGGGCCAGCCCAAGCCCGACACTAATTTTAACATTGGTCCGTGCTATTTTTAGCGTTGGCCACGCTATTTATGGCGCAGGCCTCAGTTATTTTTAGCGCAAGCTCGAGCTAAATATAATGCAGGCCCACGCTATTTTTAGCATGGGGCTGACTGTTCGTGTCCCAAGGTCGGGGCTGTCCCAAGTCCCGCGCTATTTTTGGCCAAGTCCCACACTATTTTTAGCGCAGTCCGACGTTATTTTTAGCGCAGTCTCGCGCTAATTTTAGCACAGGCCTGCGCTATATTTAGTGCAGGCCCATGCTATTTTTAACACAAGACTGACTGTTCGTGTCCCGAAGTCGGGACTGTCCCAGTCCGGTTCTATTTCTGGCGCAGTCTCGCGCTAATTTTAGCACAGTCCCGCGCTAATTTTAGCACAGNTTCGTGTCCCGAAGTCGGGACTGTCCCAGTCCGGTTCTATTTCTGGCGCAGTCTCGCGCTAATTTTAGCACAGTCCCGCGCTAATTTTAGCACAGGCATGCGCTATATTTAACGCAGGCCCATGCTATTTTTAACACAGGACTGACTATTCGTGTCCCGAAGTCGGGACTGTCCCAGTCCGGT